AGAGTGAGAGACAGAGCAGGAGAGCAAAATACCACTAGAGCATAACCATTACTCTCCAAGGTTTATTGTACTGTATTGATTACTCCATAAAACCATTCATTAACTTTTAATTAAATTTGATGTGCATAAAATATCTGAGGGACTAGTGAGTGATAATAGTGACTTTTAAATCCCAAGCGTTCTATATGCATTTTTTTTGGTGGTAGAAAACAAGATATGAGCTTAACAGTAAAGGGGACCCTAACTTAATGCACAGAGGTGAAAATACCACCTAACTTAGCTAATACTTTAGCTTTACCATCAGCGTACTTGTTCTGCTGTCGAGTCTCATTGGCAGGCTTGTTCAGTAACAGAGCTCACCTCACAGTATGCCTGCCTACATAGGCTATGACAATGTTCAGTCTTTATATTAATTTATTATAGCCATGATTTTAAAAGATGACCTTTCTTTACACCGTGAATTGTCTCTGTGCGTGTGTGTGTGTGTGTGTGTGTGTGTGTGTGTGTGTGTGTGTGTGTGGCTCACAAAGTCCACTCTGGCACAAGAACAGTTAATATTTCCAGCTAATAACATAGCATATCTTTAAAATTCAGTATTTTTCTGTCACAGACTGAATTTTCTTTCTTTCTCTGGACCACAGATTTGTTGTTTTCAGCAAATCTCCATTTCATATGAAATTAAATACCAGCTGTCAAAGTGTGGGTATGTTAAACTGGGTATTGCTTCCCTTCCTCTGGGTTACTAAGAAGTGACATGTGACATGTTTCTCATTTATATAACAGCGTAGGGATTCATTTTCACACACACTTGGAGCCAAAGATTCAGACCATTGCAATAAAAGCTTTTTAGCTTTGCTGCAAGAGAGCAGTTATTTTTACTTTTCTCAGCTGGAAGCAGGGCAAAAGAGAAAAGGATAGCTGAGGGAGAGAGACAGAGAAGCAATGTGTGAATGTGTGTGCGTGCACAATGAAGAGAAGGAGATGCAGAGGGATGTATCGAACAGGGAGACTACGCTGATGGTAAATGGGTCACCCTGTTAGGAGTCTACAGCAGACCTGCGTGTAGTTAAGAGAATCATGCCTGTAGGCTGTGTGTGCTGGGCTAAAACCTTACCCGGTGACACGGTAACTGTACAAGGAAGGAATTAAATGCATTTTAAATGTATGTTCATGTGTAAATTATATATGCTTCACCTCACGGTATGCATTTGATGGCACATATAATTAGTCTAGTGAACATGCGCCAGCGTTTGTGCAATGTTCCGCCACTTTATGCAAGTGTTTTTATTAGCGTATGTGGGTGTGTGCATAGAAGCTTGTGTTATCTTGAATTTGTGTTTTTGGAGTGACAATAGCACAACCTACACAGCCAGTGTTTCCTGGTGCCTATACAGTATTTCAGTGCAGTGCTGGAGGGCTGAGAGGACTTGTTAATTAATTACTGGTAGGCGACCAGCAGAAAATTCATCAGTGACTCTTTGATAATTGATTACTTGTTTAAGTGGTTTGTCACATTACAGTCCCATTCTTTTACTGGTTATAGATTCTCACACGGGTTTTACTTGAATTTCTCCGTTTAAAAACTTTGTGATCAGAACCTGATGTGTTAATTTCACTTTTCAATCCAAGCAATTTGAAAGCATAATAATAATTGTAAGAAAAAGAAAAAGCTAGAAAACTAGAAAACAAAAAGACGTACATTTCTCAGGAAATTTTGAGTGTCCCAATGCACCAGCTGGCCATGAAGATGTCACCACAAGTAAGAGCTAACCAAATAATAGCTTTGGGGAAGCTGTAAGACATTTTAAGGTCAAGCTTTAGGTAGCCAAACATAAATAAATAAATAAATGAATTAATAAATAACCGTGGATTTAAAAAAAAGAAAAAAGAAACAGGTGTGGAATGGTCATTAGAATATGAAAGGAATTTTATTCTGAAAGTCTAAAGCTTTTGCAGGCATCCTGTTTTCACAGTAGTAGTCATAATTGAAAGAATAAAACCCACTATCCTTTTCAGCCCTGAAAAGAAGCTTTACTATTTGCAAGCTTTTATTTTAACAGTCTAGTACTATTTAGCTAGTCTTTTTAGAAATGAGAGACAAAGTGTAGACATTGTTCATCAGCCCCCCCATGTCCAAGTGTGAAGGAGACAGGAAAGAAGCGTATTAAAATGGAATTTGGTTATTGAGTAGGTCTTATTTTGAAAGGCCACATTTTTAAACATATCCTGCTTAAACCACTATGGCATCCACACAATAGTCCATTATATTCATGCATTACTGTAGCGAGTTTACGTCACAAAATGAAGTACCTTGAGCCAACTGTTGTTGTGATTTGGTGCTATATAAAAAAAGAATTGAATAGCTCATTATATACAGAAGAGCCAGCATCATTTATGACCCCCAGCAATTGGCTGCAATATTTGTTGTTTGCAAGCTTTTATTATGAAGGACACACTTTGCTTAGAGTCTGATTTTGAAGGTGAATCAAAATTTAGACAATCTAGATCATCTTCCCTCTCTTTGCCATCCTTACAGCAACACTTATTCAGTCCAAATGACATCCTGATGTCCTTGCTGTAGATCCTGATGAAATATATCAGTGAGTCAATGTCTCACTTGCTCCTGGCATACAGCTTGATGCCATCCATGTACAGGAGGTGGCAGATGGTCATTCAACTCCTGAATGTGTTTCTATAACCACTTGCTGTGATGAGCTAGCTGAGGGTGTTGAGGCCTATACAGCACAGCAGCGGGAACAGTGTATCACCTTGATATAATCTGAACTTTGATGGTGACTTGTGCAGTTGGCATGGAGTTGTTGTCTTCCAGAGATTCATTCAGTACCTGATGAAGGCTATTAGTACGCCATTAATCTTTTATAGCACCAAACACTCCAGTAGTCCATGTAAGGCACAGGCTTTCTTGTAGTCAGTCCAGGCAGTGCTCAGGTTGGTCTGCCTGGTCCTAGAGTCTCTGACTCTATCGGTGAAAGGGTCTTTGGAGAGCAGGCCGTTTGTTCTTTTGAACTCTACCTCTCTGCTTTATCTCATCAGACTAGTAGCCAGAGGTGTGAGACTCTGTTTGGCAGTTTTGAGAGCCTCAGTTACGGAAATTTTGTACTTATCCATGGGCTGCTGGCAGTGGGGATAGTAACTATTAGCGGTGTTAACATCGTCAGTTAGGATTTTGTTAATGAGCCCCAGATGTTGTACAACTGTCTTGAGTCTGGCTAGTCTCGACTACTGCTCAGTATTGTTCCTTTTGAGTTGTCTCCTCGGGATCCTCAGCTCACTAACTGCTTCCTTCTTTTGACGTTAAAGCACTGAGCTATCGGCTGCTTCTTGGTCAGCATGGCCTTCTGCTCATCCATAGGTTGTACCTCTTGGGTCAGGGGGGCATTTAAGCTTTGCTTTTTCATGTACTTTGTTTGACTTGTTTAAATCAGCATCACCAATTTAGCAAAGGTGAGGCTATTTTGGAGTGTGCTGACATATCTGTGGTTTCAAAGGTAAATCAGTGGAGGTCAGAGAGCCCACACATGAGCACAAGTATCATCAGCGCTTTAGATATTGCTGCCACAGAGCTTGAAATGTCCCATATGGTGCATGGCTGCTGGTGTGTGTGTTTTTGTCTGTCTAGTAAACACTGTAAAGCTCCCAGTTTGCTCTTCAGATTTTTTCCCCCCTTGGCTAAAATCTCTAACTTTACTCTGAGGATTAAGTGCTGTCAGAGCTGTAAATCCTTGTTGTTTCATTTCATTTGCCTCTCATGTAAAAATCTCTAAACAGACAACTTGGTACTGAAAAAACACACAGGCAGTCAAACGATTTGTTTGTGTGAGCAAAAGCACTACAAATGACGCGTAGCTCATCATCACGCTGGCTTTTCCCCCACACTGAGGCCGATTCTGTTGCCTATTCCACAGAAAACAAAAGAACAATAGCGGGACACAAGAGCGGCCAAGGACACTGCCCAGTATGTTGTAATTCTCGTAGAGCCTCTGGGTATAGCATCAACACCAAATAGACAAACAATGTCATGTTGACTGCAACAAGACGTTTTGCTTTATGTTGTGACATGCACAACATTTGCGTTGTATCATTTTATATGAGGTAACACATGTTGAGAGACACTGTATCACTAGTAGCTTTAGCTTCAACACAGACGCTAAATAAAACAATTAATGCATGCAGCGAGAAGGACTGTGCTAGAGTCATGGAGATTCCACTTAGTCCTAAAATTGCTACTTTCTTTCAACAAAGTAGGCCTGGTGTTTGATTTTCAGTGAAAAAAGTCAGGCTGTTGCATTATATGACTGCAGCATTATTGTATGTAGGGGAAATGTAATCACCTAGCATCAAACAAGCTGGTGCACTTGTAAATCACTGCGTTTACCTCTGAAAAATCATGCATTTTCCGTCCAATAGCCTGCCCCAGTCCATACAGAGTCAAACAAAAAGGAGTTCCTATGGTATAGACTGAGGGTCCATCCTTTTGCAGTAGTTGCTAAGAGGCTTTTTAAAGTGTGCTGCGGCTGGGCCATGGCAGTCTAGCAGCAGCAAAAATCTCTGCGCTTGTGTTGTAAAAATTCAGCAAGGTCAATCAAGCAACCTGCAAGAAGCTGAAGGAGGCCTAAGAGCGTTTTAGCTATGCCAAAGAAGTGCTGTTTTGTCTGTCCGTGTGTATGTGCGCACTTGTGTGCATGTGTGTGAGAGAGAGATAGCCCTGAGTAAAATAACTGAAATGAGAGCACCAGCATCGCTCTTGTTTTGGCACTGCCACGGCAACTTTTCCTTCTTAATGTTAGGAGTGGGCAGGAGTGGAATTTAAATGTCCTCTCTCTTTCTTTTTACCTTTTTTTGTCGTTGTTGTTCTGCAGATACTTTCTATTTCTTACTTCTTCTTTGATCTTAATGGTCTTGTGTCGTATAGGTCTGGTTGTTGAGGTGTTTGGCTTGGTAAGTGGTTTTATTTGACTTTTATCCTCATGTCTTCACAGGAAACCAATGAGCTGGTGGCGATTAAGAAGTTCAAAGACAGTGAAGGTGAGTGGAGTGAGCCAGAAAGTTAGGAGAGGAGAGAGGAGCTGCTGTCTAATTTCTGCTGCTTTAATTTCTGCACAGAAAATGAGGAGGTCAAAGAGACCACTCTTCGGGAGCTGAAGATGCTTCGGACACTGAAGCAGGACAACATCGTCGAGCTGAAGGAGGCTTTTCGAAGGCGGGGGAAGCTCTACCTCGTCTTCGAATATGTTGAGAGGGTCAGTTCAGCGACTGCGTCGTTATCATTTGACTTCGCACACGTTCCTCCTCTCTGCTCTGCCGTATCTAGATTCCTAGCCCACTTCTAAGTTTCAGGATGTTGAGACTGCTCACTTAAGCATTAAAAAGTGTCGCCATGGCAACATATGAACTATGCTGTTGGTGAGTAATGGTATTCCCCACTGTGTTGCCAGGGTACCCGGCCAAGTGTTTATTTTATGACAGGTTTTATTTTCATGCTGTACTCTAGTCATTTAGCATGGTGTCCCCTCTCACCCCCTGTCAGGGCTAAAATACAAAAATGAAACAAAAAAGAAATTAAAGGTTAACACCATTTATATTTTTAGAGCACACTTTCTAACAGGGAATTTCTTGCACCTTGCAGAATATGCTGGAGCTACTAGAGGAAATGCCCAACGGTGCTCCGCCTGACAAAGTCCGCAGCTATATTTACCAGCTCATCAAAGCCATCAACTGGTGTCACAAGAATGAGATTGTGCACAGAGGTGAGGAAGTGTCACTCGGTCTAATGTCACATCTGAAAATCACACTTTTGTGATTCAATAATGATTCAAAAAAGGAAGAATTCAGTTCCAATTATGCTGTTGTACACGAGCATGTTGGTTGAGCCTTTCCACACATCAAGAATAGTTTTCTAAAACAAAATACTGTCATAGGAGGGAAACTGAAGCTGAAGTAGACCTTCAACTCTCTGCAAAAAATGTATATTGTTGTCTTGTATTCATGTTACGTATTCATGTAGTAGGACAGCATTTGAAGCATATTGTTAATGCCTCATTTTTCTTCCAGATATTAAACCAGAGAACCTCCTTATCAGCTCCGAGGATGTTCTCAAACTTTGTGACTTTGGTGAGTCTTCTTCGGTTTTTTTACAGCAGCCAGCCATGTGTCACGGTGCTGTAAGGATTTAGAGTCTGTGTGCAAGGCAGTAAAAACTCCCAGACCACACACATTTCGCTGCTCGAGTGATGATAACTGCTTTTAAAATCAAGCAAACTCTTTAACGCAGTAAATCGCTTTCAGCTGCCGATTGATTGTGATTATTTGAGTTTTTGCAGTTATCTCTGTGTTTGCATTGTGTCCAGTTTGGTTTCTTGGGCTTAGTTCGGTGTGAAAAATCCCACCATTAATATGTCACCTTATAAGTTGTATATCAGAAGGATCAATTCTGCCATTTGGGAAGCAGCCAAGCAGCATTATAAAGTGCAGCCTGCTGGGTTTTAACACAATTAATCCGCCAAAGAAGTCCAATTAGTGAAGCACCTATTTTCTCTGTAAAACACTAATAAAGTGCATTGATATGACACGTCTTTGCCATTTTACTGTTTTCCAGGTGTGTGTTTTACATTAGCGTCAATATCAGCAGGGTCACATGGTTAGTTAGCGTTGCATAATTGGCTAATGCAATGCTATTTAGTCAGCTGGGGTGAGATTTGTTTGTTATTCACTGTTGGAGCTGGCATTCTGTTTATTGTGACTTTTTTATGATTAAAATGGACTCTCTGTACGACACTTTTCCAAAGCACAGTCTCCATCCGCCTGCAGTGACATAACTAATTAGTTTGATCACATGGGAAGTCCGTGTTGTTACTAAGCTGTCCAAATTACTTGAACACTGAGAGTCCTTTTTTTTGTTTTTAATTGATCTTTGAAAGAGTCTAAATTGTATATTATCACACTTCAGTGTGATGGCTGTGTAACATACAGAATCAGGTGTACGTGATTTATTGAATATCTGTTACTCTGGCTCAGGTTTTGCTCGTAACCTGTCTGAAGGAACAGATGCCAACTACACTGAGTATGTCGCCACAAGGTGGTACCGCTCACCTGAGCTGCTGCTAGGGTGAGTTCCTGTGTGTGCATCTGCGTGTGCATGTCTGTGCATACATGTATATATATGCAGGAGCTGAAGTGAGAAACATAAAGCGAAGGAAAGAGCACAGAGCACAAGATATGTTTCTGTGTTTTTCCACAGAGGGTATCAGAAGTTTTTCTCTTGTGATACCACCATACCTCAAACAAAATAACACAGTACTGGTCTCATTTTCTCAGCTAATACTCATTCATTTTTGCATTATATGTTTAATGTATCAGCTCATGCCTACAGCCTGACACGAATAAATGAAAGCAAGTTATAGCAGAAATCTTATTATATCAAAGCAACTTTAAACAGAGATCTCATCTCATTACAAACTGAGGCCAAACTTTCCAAAGATCCAAAAAATGTCCAGCTGCATTTTCTGGAATAAGACGAAGAAGAAGAAATGAACACGATTTTAATCTGTTTAAACAGGAGGCCAGTAAAAATAGACTTAAAGTGTCTGGGCTAATATGAGATCTATTTTATTGCATATGTACCAGCATGCATTCATCAGCATGAATAAAATGTACCAAGAAAATATCCCCGACACCACTGACAGGTAGGAAGGATCCATGCTTTCATGATGTTTATGCCAAAATACTAAAATCTGAATGTTGCAAATCAATCTTCTGTTCTAGTGAGTTCATGTGAACTGTAGCCTAATTTTCTTGTTCTCAATGACAACCAGTGTGGTCTTCTTCAAGATTCAGCATATTGTGAGATGTTCCTCTGCATACCTTGTTTGTGGTTATTTAAGTTACTATCAGCTCTAAGCAGCCTTGCCGTTCTCCTCTGGTATAAACAAGGGGTTTTTGGTGAGAGAGCTGCTGCTCAGCATTTTTGGACCACTCTGTAAACCCCAGAGATGTTTGTGTGGGAAAATCCCAGAAGATCAACAGTTCTTTAAACATTTTTCCCCCATTCTGATGCTCAGTTTGAAATTCTGCAGCTCGCCTTGACCATGTCGACGTGCATAATTGCATTGAGTTTCTGCCATGTGATTGGCTGATTAGATATTTACATTAACAAGCAGTTGAATAATTTTTTTCCTAACAAAGTGGCTGATGAGTATGTGTAAAAGATACTGGAACTATAAATTTTTTTCCTTTTAGAGTGAATCAATTGTCCAAGCAGCAGTCAAAACAATAAATATGAAAATCTTGTAAAATTACTCTTAAAAGAAAACTATTAATGGATGTTCAGAAATGAAGTCTGTGCTTTCACTGTGTCTGCAAATAGGCTGTTTTTGTTTCCTTGTAAAACGCGGTCTCTCTCTCAAACAGCTCAAAAACTGTACTGAACACGATTTCATCTTTTTAATTCGTCCTATATTCTTTTATAATTTAATGAAAATTGACAAACCAATTTCATTTTTAATTAGTTCACTACTGAAAGCGATGTATTCATTCCGTTCAGTCTAAGAGACCTCGGCTGTAAAAGCTAGTTAAATATGATTCGACATGCTCTATATCTGGACTTTTACATGACACAAACACTCCCAAATCCCCAGTAAGTCTAACTGGATTGTGTTTATTTGGGTTTTATTACATCTGGGCAAATATAATAAACATTACAGCATTATGCTGAATAAAAGTTGACAAAACACAAAAGTTGACTGATTGTTGCCTGTATGATAAATGTCACCCACTTAGTGTGCTCTAACTGCATCTCTGTGTGTTTTTGAGCACGAAATTAAGCTAACAAACCATTTTTTTAATGTAATTTCACTGCTAAAATTTTTCATTTCATTTCTTTAATTCAGATGACTGAAAAAACAGTCAGTGATTCATCTGCTGCATTATGACATGAGCCACCATGCACACACCATACCCACAGATCAAATTTCACTTTCCTCGTGGACTTCTCTTGCCGATGTTGTTTTGGTGCTTTTGCTGCATTTAATGTCCATTCTAGCTTGGAGACAGCTGAACGTCATCTAGCCTCGGTTCTGTAGCCTGATTTAGTAAATGCCCTGGAACATTTATTGAGACAGCGTTTGAATGCCGCCCACTCAAATACTCTCTCCCTCCAACACCACCTCTCCTCTGCTTCTCTGCTGCCAGATCTCTCACCATTTCTCACCAGACTTCTCAGCTCTGTTCCCTCAGAAATGACCATCTTCTTTATGAGCTTCTCCATCAGAAACACAACATCGATCGTTTTATTTTAATTGCACCACCTCCGTGAATTCTGTCACCCCCGCCCCGCTGTCATCCCTCTCATAATCGTCTCCTCTTCATTCGGGGACTTGGTTTTTACCCTTTTTCCTCGCCATTTTCATTTCCTCTCTCATTATTATCACCCTACCGTCTAATTAACGAGGTCTTTTTGCTGATGATTACATATTTGTCTGTTTTTCTCCGTCTCAGGGCTCCTTATGGAAAGGCGGTGGACATGTGGTCGGTGGGGTGTATCCTCGGGGAGCTGAGTGATGGACAGCCCTTGTTTCCAGGGGAAAGTGAGATTGATCAGGTTGGTGAGCCGAAACAAGGGTGAAGCGTATAGCTAATTAAACAGGCTGACTGAAAAACGGAAATAGCTTTTGATGTAAATAAATCAAAACGTCACATTCAAAGTCCTACTGTGTGATGTTTAAGGTGGGCTGACAGGTTTTATCTATTTATTTCAGATTGTTATAAAGGGAACAGGCATTCATAATATTTGACGCTTATGCACCTGACAGAACGCCCACTTTGGTTTCTTCTCTGCTATAATAAAACAAAAGAAGAATTACTGAGAGTCCTCGTGTGAAAATCACAGTTACAGGGGCTTTTTTGGACTTCACACCTGGGCAAGAGAAATTTCTATTGTGTTGTCGGAAATAAAGCAACTGGGAGACAACAGAGCGACTGGGGGGAGATCTCAGAGATGGTGATGAGCGCTAATTTTGGAAATTTAATAGCAAGTCAAATTAAATTTTATTCATCCCCAAATCACAAGTTTGTCCATCAGAGCTCTGAGATCTGAGATCTGTGCACCAGAAGAAACTGTCTCTCTGTTAGCTCGCACACAACCCATCGATATATAATATATATATATATAAGAAAGAAAATGTATTAACACAAATAATCTGTCTCAGGCCTGCCCTCAAACACTTTATGGATTATGTGTCCAATTTAGTAGGAAATTTATGGAAACAATGTGCATCACTTTCAGGTCAGTGCACCTGGGCTGGTGCTCTCATTTAAAGCACTTTCGTTGATTGGACAGCATGCTGTGTTTAACCATCTAACAACAGGTGTATCATTTATGATACTGTGGTTTTGAGTTTTTGTAACCTCTGATGAAGATCTAAATAAATTGTACACTATATTTCTAAACAATAACACCCAGAAAGAATTATAAATATATATATATACAGTGGGGCAAAAAAGTATTTAGTCAGCCACCGATTGTGCAAGTTCCCCCACTTAAAATGATGACAGAGGTCAGTAATTTGCACCAG